TTTTATCATATACACACAAACACACACACTTTTGGGATCACCCTACTCTGTGGAGTAGCTGTTCTTTCACCACTTCACTTTCTTAATAAACTTGCTTTTGCTGTGCACTTTGGACTCACCCTGAATTCTTTCTTGAGTGAGATCCAGGAACCCTCTCTTGAGTTCTGGACTGGGACTCCTTTCCTGTAACACTATGAAGAAATACCCAAGACTGGTTAATTTATTTTTTAAACGAGGGTTAATTGACTCACAGTTCAGCATGGCTTGCGTGGTCTCCGGAAACTTACAGTCATGACAGAAGACACTTCTTTACAGGGTGGCAGGACAGAGAATGAGTCAGAGTAAAGGGAGAAGCCCCTTCAACTATCAGATCTCCTGAGAACCAACTCACTATCACAAGAACAGCATGGGTAAAACTGCCCCCATGATTCAATTATCTTCACCTGGCCCTGACTTTGACACATGGGGATTATCACAATTCAAGGTGAGATATGGGTGGGGACACAGAACCAAACCATATCATTCTACCCTGGCCTCTTTCAAATCTCATGTCCTCACATTTCAAAACACAGTCATGCCCTTCCAACAGTACCCCAAATTCTTAACTCATTCCAGCATTAACCCAAAAGTCCAAGTCCAAAGTCTCTTCTCAGACAAGACAAGTTCCTTCTGCCTATGAGCCTGTAAAATCAAAAGTTAGTTACTTCCTGGATATAATGGGGGTACTGGCATTGGTAAATACACCCATTCCAAAGGGGAGAAATTGGCCAAAACAAAGGGGCTACAGGCAAGTCCATGCAAGTCCAAAATCTAATAGGGCAGTCATTAAACATTAAAGTTCCAAAATAATCACCTTTGACTCCATGTCTCACGCCCAGGTAATGCCGATGCATGAGGTGGGCTCCCATGGCCTTGGGCAGCTCCGCACCTGTGGCTTTGCAGGGTACAGTCCCTCTCCCGGCTGCTTTCACAGCTAGTGTTGAGTATCTGCAGGTTTTCTAGGCATACGGTGCAAGCTGTTGGTAGATTACCATTATGGGGTCTGGAGGATGGTGACCCTCTTTACACAGCTTCACTAGGCAGTGCCCCAGTGGGGACTCTGTGTGGGGGCTCCAACCCCATATTTCCCTTCTACACTGGCCTGACAGAGGTTCTCCATGAGGGCTCCACCCCTGCAGCAGATATCGAGGCATCTCTGGATTAGAGATTTCCATACATCCTCTGAAATTTAGGCAGAGGTTCTGCAACCTCAATTCTTGACTTCTGTGTACCTGCAGGCCCAACACCACATGTAAGCCACCAAGACTTGGGGCTTGCACCCTCTAAATCAATGGCCCAAGCTATACCTTGGCCCCTTTTAGCCTCGGCCTCCAAAAGTGCTGGGAATACAGGCGTGAGCCTTACCCAGCCTTACATTATGAGATTCTTAAAGAAAAGAATGCTGGCTTATTCATCTCACCAACTTCAGGACATACCATCAACAAGCACATCACAGTTCCCAATACTACATAGGCATTCTCATTGAAGAATTTAGACTGATGTGTGAAAAAGCCCTAATAATATGCCACCTTTGTTTTTTTAGTTTTTAATTTAATTTTATTATTATTATTTTGAGACCATGTTGGCCAGGCTGGAGTGCAGAGGCTCAAGAGATCCTCCTACCTCAGAATCCTAAGTAGCTGGGACTACAGGCATGCACCACTATGTCCAGCTACTTTTTCTCTTTTTTCTTTTGGAGACACAAGGATCCCACTGTGTTGCCCAGGCTGGTCTTGAACTCCCGGGCTCAAGCAATCCTCCTGCCTTAGCCTCCTAAAGTGCTGGAATTACAGATGTGAGCCACCACACCCAGCCAATGTGCCACCTTTCAAGATGATGGGAAACACTACGGGGAACTATCAGAGTGCAGCCCCAGCTTAGGAAGAACTGCTATTAGGACCAATTGCCTTGGGATGATTGAGTCTATATGTCTTACTGCCCACACTGACGTTCTTGGGAGCTTCATTCCTGGCAGACAATTTCAAATCTAGTCAACATCATAATTGCACAACCCATTGCTATTTGAACATCCACAATCCTCCAGCTTGTTTTCTTTTTATTCTTATTTTTGTTTAGAGACAATGTCATTATGTTGCCCAGGCCGGTCTTGAACTCCTGGCCTTAAGTGATCCTTCTGCTTTGGCCTCTCAGAGTGCTGGGATTACAGGTATGAGCCACCACACCCACTCTTTATTTGTTCATTCGTATATTCAACAAGTATTTATCAAGCATCTCCAACATGTCAGGTGCTATCTGAGATGCTGGGAATACATATAGTGAACCAGACAAGCACATGCTTATGGACCTTCAGCATCACTAAGCATCAGGGAAATGGATATCAAAACTACAGTGAGATATCATCTTACCCAGTTAGTCTGGCTGTTGTTTATTTTTTCCAGATTAGCTTATGAAACTGGCTAACTTTTGTATTTTTGGTAGAGACAGGGTTTTACCATCTTGCCCAGGCTGATCTGGGCTCAAGCAATTCACCAGCCTTGGCCTCCCAAAGTGCTGGGATTACAGGCATAAGCCAATGTGCCAGGCCTAGACTGGCTATTGTTATTAAAAAAAGAAAGAAAGAAAGAAAGAAACAGATCCCAGCAAGGATGCAGAGAAAATTTAAACTCTTATATGCTGTTGGTGGGAACAAAAATTAGTATAGCCAAGGGACTAAGAGGAAGGTGGAGATGGCTAAGGGGTACAAAAAAATGAAAAAGAATGAATAAGACCTACTGTCTGATAGCACAACAGGGTGACTATAGTCAAGAAAAACTTTTTTTTTTTTTTTTCTTGAGACAGGGTCTCACTCTATTGCCCAAGCTGAAGTGGAGTGGTGTGATCCTGGCTCACTACAACCTCCACCTCCTGGAATCAGGTGATCCTCTCTCACCTCAGCCTCCCAAGTAGCTGGGACTACAGGTGTGTGCCACTACATCTGGCTAATTTTTTTGTATTTTTTTTTTTAGACGGAGTTTCGCTCTTTTCACCCAGGCTGGAGTGCAATGGCGCGATCTCGGCTCACCGCAACCTCCGCCTCCTGGGTTCAGGCAATTCTCCTGCCTCAGCCTCCTGAGTAGCTGGGATTACAGGCATGTGCCACCGTGCCCAGCTAATTTTTTGTATTTTTAGTAGAGATGGGGTTTCACCATGTTGCACAGGCTGGTCTTGAACTTGTGGGCTCAGGTGATCCACCCACCTCAGCCTCCCAAAGTGCTGGGATTACAGATGTGAGCCACCGTGCCTGGCCTAATAATAACTTAAAAGTACATTTTAAAAAACTTAAAGAGTGTCACTGAATTGTTTGTAACTCAAAGGATAAATGCTTGAGGGCATGGATACCCCATTCTCCATGATGTGCTTATTTCCCATTGCATGCCTGTATCAAAACATTTCATGTACTCCAATATATGAGATGTAATATATGCACCCACTAAACTGCAATATATGCACCCACTATGTACCAACAAAATTAAAATTAAAAAAAAAGTTTTTAAAAAGATAATTAGTGCAGCCATTATGGAAAACAATATGAAGATTTCTCAAAAAACTAAAACTACAACTATAATACGATCCAACAATCCCACTGCTAGGTATCTACCCAAAGGAAAGGAAATTAGTATATCCAAGGGATGCTTGCACACCCATGTTAACTGCAGCACTTTTCACAATAGCCAAGATATAAAATCAACCTAAGTGTCCATCAATGGATGAATGGGTAAATAAAACATGGTATATATACACAATGGAGTTCTGTTCAGCCATAACAAAGAATGATGTTCCCTGGAGTTGATTATGTTAAATGAAATAGGCCAGGCACAGAAAGACACGTTCTCACTCATATTTGGAAGCTAAAAAAAGCTGCTCTCATGGTGGTAGAGAATGTAATGGTGGTTATGAGAGACTGGAAGGGTGTGTTGGTGGGTCAGGGGTGCAGATTGGTTAATTGGTACAAACATACAGATATAAGTAGGAATGCTTTTTTAAATGTTCAACAGCAGAATAGGGTGATTATAGTTAGCAACAATGTATTATGTATTTCAAGATAGCTATAAGAGAGACTTGAAATATTCCCAACACATAGAAATGATAAGTATTTTGGGCAATAGATACTCTGACTTGATTATTACACATTCTATGTATGTAACAAAACATGACATGCACTTCATACATATGTACAAATATTAGGCATCAATAAAAAAATTAACTCAATTATTTCAGGTCATGGTAGGTGCTATGAGGGAGACAAATAGGCTGATGAGCTGCAGACTGAGTGGAAAAGGTAGAGCCTCCTGCAGATATGCCTCAGAAAGGTAGAGCCTCCTGCAGATAATATGCCTCCTTCCACTGGGAGAAGGAGCCAGTCAGAGAGAGAGAAGGGCAGGGTCCAGGCCTTGAAGCAAGGAATAGCGGGCAGAATGCAAGGAACAGAATGGAAGACAGCTGGCAGGAGCCTGGAGTGAGGGCAGAGCATTAAGACGCGAGCCTGGGAGAAGCAGGCAGCATCAGTTCACAGAGCCAAGCAGGCTAAAGAAAGTGAAAGGTTCAGGCTAACCACAAGGTTCTCAGGGTTCTCTCATAAAATGTTTGGTGGCTACTTTCTGTGTGTATACACTCTGTTTCTTCTGCAGGGTACCAAGAGGGCAACCTGGACCATAAGAAATGTAAACTTGTTCTTTAGCATCCAAGTGATGAAAAATTACTCATCAATTGCACAATTTAAAAAAATTCTTTGCTCTCAAATCAAATTATACTATAAGCTATTACTCTTAAGTCAGTCTTTGTCTATCCTAATGAACAAGGCCCTATGTTTTCAACCCATACTTAAGGGCAGAATGGGAAGCAGGCCTCCCCGGGAACAGTTTATCGAGAGTAATCTCTTTGGTATTGTATTAACCCACTTTCATGCTGCTGATAAAGACCTACCTGAGGCTGGGAAGAAAAAGAAGTTTAATTGGACTTACAGTTTAAGTGGCTGGGGAGGCCTCAGAATCATGGCAGGAGGAGAAAGGCACTTCTTAGATGGTGGCGGCAAGAGAAAAAGGAAGAAGCAAAAGCAGAAATCCCTGATAAACCCATTAGATCTCATGAGACTTATTCACTACCACAAGAATAGCACGGGAAAGACCAGCCCCCATGATTCAGTTACCTTCCCTGGGTCCCTCCCACAACACATGGGAATTCTGGAAAATGCAATTTGAAATTTGGTGGGGACACAGCCAAACCATATCAATATTTTTGTTTCCATTTTTTTATGGTGCACCAGAGTAAAGAGACACTTGGATAGGTACCTTTCAAATACCTGAGAATACAGAAGGAAAGTAGTCAACCAAATCCAAGAAAAGAAACTAAAGAAATGAGCAAGGCATGCGAGAAAGTTCTAAGCCTCCTGAATTCATTCAGAGCTGATGGTCCCTATTGCTCCATGGAGTTATTGAGGATGTTATTAGACCTTTGTACCCAAGAAATACTGAGCCACTGGCTAGCTAACTGGAGGAACAAATTAGAAATCTAATTTCTAATGATTAAACTGACATTAAAAGCATTTTTATTTCCTACTTTAATTGGGATTTCTTTTTATTCTATCTTACATGAGTTTTGCTCCTTAATTCAGGAAACATTCTGAAAGCAAAAATGCATGGGTGATATTGCTATTATTTTTTTCCAACAAAAGAAAACAAAATTCAGCCAGTTGCCGTGGCTCACGCCTGCAATCCCAGCACTTTGGGAGGCCAACAGGGCTGGATGGCTTGAATTCAGGAGTTCGAGACCAGCCTAGGCAACACAGCAAAACCCCATCTCTACAAAAATTACAAAACAAAATTAGCCAGGCATGGTGGCATGCTCCTGTGGCCCCAGCTACTCAGGAGGCTGGGGTGGAAGGATGGCTTGAGCCTAGGAGTGGAGGTTGCAGTAAGCTGAGATCATGCCACTGCATTTCAGCCTAGGCAACAACATAATGAGACCCTGTCTCAAAAAAAAGAAAAAAGAAAAAGAAAAAAAATTTTTTTCTTCAATGACTGAAGTTTTCTTTCATTTTACTGTTATTTCAGAGAAGCAAGGCAGGGTGCCATAGTAGAAAGATTTGGTTTCCAGTGGTCCTGGGAAATCATTTCATCTCTCTGAGGTTTGGTTTTCCCCAGGAGTGATTAAGCCATATACAGAAGAGTTCCTTGGGTCCCTTCCAGCTTTAAGAGTCTGCGATTCTAGAAAGCAAGGAGCTGTTTCTGAGCGAGGATAAAGGAAGCACAGGCTGGGTACAGTGGATCATGCCTGTAATTCCAGCACTTTGGGAGGCTGAGATGGGCAGATCACTTGAGCTCAGAAGTCAGAGACCGGCCGGCACAACATAGTGAGACCTCGTTTCATTGCTGTTTTAACATTAAAAAAAAAAAAAAAGAAACGTAATGAAAGATGAGGGAGGCAAGAAGAGACAGAATCTAAGAAAAAGAAAGCTTTGAAGAGCAACGATCTCACTATTGTGCTGTAAAATCAACCTGCTCCCCATTAACTTCTTTGAAAAAGTGGAATAAACTTTCTGAGCTTTTCATCTTTTCTCCTGTGTCCTGGCTGGTAAAAGTGCAAATGAGCACTGAATTGGAGAAAGGCAAGGAGCTGGAGGGATAAGGATGAGAAATGGAAGGATGAATCATTTAGACACTGCAACATCAGCCCCCAAGTCATCTGGATGCGAAGGTGACAATTTGGCCCTAAAGTTCAAAAAGGTTGAAAAGGATTTTGTGTGTGTGCGTGTCTGCCTGGGCTGCTCCCAATAACCTTAATTCAAAAGGATCACCATTGTTTAATTATCCAGAATCTTTTCTTAAACCTTTTGCAGGATGCATCAGCTGGGATTTCAACTACAGATAGGTGAAGTTTAGAAAAGTTTCTTGGTCCTAAAAGAAGTCTTATCTTTTGCTGTCTAAACTGATTTGGATTCATTTCAGGCCAACTTATTTACTTATTTTTCATTTTGAGACGGAGTTTCATTCCTGTTGCCTAGGCTGGAGTGCAGTGCCACAATCTCGGCTCACTGCAACCTCTGCCTCAGCCTCCTGAGTAGCTGGAATTACAGGCACCCGCCACCACATCCCAGCTAATTTTTCGTATTTTTAGTAGAGATGGGGTTTCACCATGTTGGCCAGGCTGGTCTAGAACTCCTGACCTCAGGTGATCCACCCACATCAGCCTCCCAAAGTAATGGGATTATAGGCATAAGCCACGGTGCCCACCCTGCCAACTTATTCTTAGAAATATATTTACAGAGGCCTGGTGCAGTGGCTGTAATCCCAGCACTTCTGGAGGCTGAGGTGGGTGGACCACTTAAGCTCCGGAGTCTGAGACCAACCTGGGCAACATAGTGAGACCCTATCTCCACAAAATGTTTAAAAACTAGCTGGGTGTGGTGGTGTGCACCTGTGGGAGGCTTGAGGTGGGAGGATCGCTTGAGGCTGCAGTGAGCCATTATCATGCCAGCTTGGGCAACAGGGCAAGACCTTGTCTCAAAAAAAAAAAAAAATAGAGAGATGTGTGTTAGAGGAAAAACTAACAAAAAGGGGTGATAGACAGCATAAGGCATGTAGGAGAAAGAGCATGTTTCAGTTTGAGCAACTGAGTGGGCAGTGGTACCTGTTTAGTGAGATGGAAAATCAGGAATTTGGTTTTAGACATGTGATCTTATGAGCTGTCACTCCTAAATTAAGCTATAACTCATCCTAGGGAATATGTGCATTTTAAAGAAGAAAGCTCTCAAGAATCAAAGAAGGTGAAACTAGAGCGGTGGATTGGTATGAGTTAGGTCGTTGTTTTTTAATCAGGGATTCAAAAATGGGCTTGGAGAACTGCCTGTGGAGAAGGCTATCAGGGCATAATGAACACATTTTCATAGAGGTGGGCAGACTCTGGACGAAAGCCTGAAGCACATTTTCCTCTACCTCCTCTAATCTATACCCTCCCCTGCCTTTTCCCCCAAGATTTGTTCCAGTGCCACAAACCTGAGGTTTATGGAAAGTTTCCTCTCAGTTCCTCCTGACTATACCTTGATCGAAAAGGCTGGGTGAGATCTGCCTCACCTGGCAATCCCTCCAGTGCAGCCCTCACCCCTAGTTCCCAAGCTTGCTGCCCTTGAGGGAGGGAGTAGCTGATGTCTCCAAAAAGCTTCCAGACTCTGTCCCTGGGAAAGGAGCCCAATTCATCTGAAAATCAGTGACAGGAAGAAGCAGCTGGAATTGGTGGAACTGAATATTCACACAGAGCAAGAAAGAGAAAGAGAGGCAAGAGCCAGGTTTCCTAAGCTCTGATTCTCAGAAGCCTTGCCCTTCTCCATAGTGATCCAAGCTCAGTTGTTCCTCCCAAACCCATTCAGAGGAGCCCCCTGAAAAACAACAATCCTTAGATCAAAAGAATTTGTACCCAAGAATGTTCCTCATAACGAATTTTCGTCTCTCTCCATATAAATACCTACCACTTGCTTGGCATTTGAAAGCTTTCAAGTTATACCAAGTTACACCACTTTCAAGTTACAACTTGAGGAAACTTCTTATTGATCTCCACTTATTATACGGAAGTTACATGCCAAGGCCATCAAGAAAACTTGGTTGTTATTATCTATAAAAATCAGTTAATCTATAAGAAATCCTCAAGCTTTTATAAAAGCAACTTTGCTTTTCATGTAAAATTATAATTATTTATTAAAATGGCAAAAGAAACAATAACCACTTTAGTAAAAAGGATATGCAAGGCCGGGCATGGTGGCTCACACCTGTAATCCCAACGCATTGGGAGGTTGAGACAGGCGGATCAATTGAGTCCAGGAGTTCAAGACCACCCTGGGTCTTGAACGGCAAAACCCCATCTCTACAAAAAAGTACAAAAATTAGCTGGGCATGGTGGCAGACCCCTGTAATCCCAGCTACCCAGGAGGCTGAGGCACAAGAATTGCTTGAACCCAGGAGGTGGAGGTTGCAGTAAGCTGAGAGTGCATCACTGCACTCTTGCCAGGGCAAAAGAATGAGACTTCTCAAAAACAAAAAAAACAAAAAAAAAAACAAGGATATACAGTTTAAAGTTTTATATAAAATTTAATTGCCTGTATACAATTAAGTTCCCTTCTCACTGATTTTTTTTTTTTTTTTTTTTGAGACAGAGTTTTGCTCTTTTTACCCAGGTTGGAGTGCAATGGCGCGATCTCGGCTCACTGCAACCTCCGCCTCCTGGGTTCCGGCAATTCTCCTGCCTCAGCCTCCTGAGTCGCTGGGATTACAGGCACACGCCACCGTCCCCAGCTTATTTTTTGTATTTTTAGTAGAGATGGGGTTTCACCATGTTGACCAGGATGGTCTCAATCTCTTGACCTCGTGATCCACCCACCTCGGCCTCCCATAGTGCTGGGATTACAGGCTTGAGCCACCACACCTGGCCCTCACTGATTGTTAATAATGAGTAATCCGTGGTTTCTCCCCTGGGATCTGCCTGGATCCTGTTCTGGGCCCAAGGTTCCCCCGCTGGTATATTGGTATCAGCATTAGATCCCAATCTCTGCAAGGTCAGGTCTGCTTCTGTCTGAGTTTCTGCTGCAGCCCCAGTGCCTGGCACACTCCCTGACTTGCCTTAGGGGACCAGTGATATTTCTTTAATGAATGAATGCATGAACACAATCCAGCACCAGGACTTGAGGATAAACTGAACCTGGTTGGATTATTTCTGGAGAGGCTGCAAAGAGATAGCATTTAAGGGATAAATATGAATCAAAACAGAAGGGCTAACACCAGAGGAGTATGGCATACACTGTGATTCTGTTTTCTCTCCTGAGAGACTTTTGTGAAGACAATGTAAGAAATAAGGGGAAAGTTTGAGCAGAAAAGGTCAGGAACTTAGGGTATGAACAGGGAAGTGAAAGGATTCCTAGGCTTGGAACGAAGCATGGGACCTGGGTGTTGTTCTTGCCAGTGTTGGCTTTGTAACATTCGGACAGATCATCAGCTTCCAGATGAGATTTGATCTCCATGAAAACTTTCTGGAAATCAGACTCCTTCCTGGATGGCTTAAACATTTCAAAACAAGTTGACAACATACATCTTTACAATGAGTTACACTGAAGTTAAGGAAACCCCAGTTCAAGGCCACATTCCTCAAAGCATGTTTTTAATTTTGTCTTAGTAATTTAATAGGGTTTTGTGGAAGAAAAAAAGGGTGAGTGAAACCAATGTTAAGCTGATTTCTTTATTGTAATTCTCAGAGCCTTTAATATTAATGTACATATATACATTATGAATTACCAAGATATCCTGTGTGTGTGTGATCTCTTAAGACTAGAATTCTTCAGGATCTTTTTTTGGGAAATACTGACTTATTGAGTAATCCACCTTCCTCTTATATACTTTTTTGCTGCAGAAATTCCCCATAAGTTTCAACACCTTTCTCTTAATTTTCTTTTTGTGTGGCATGGCAAAAGCCAAAATGAAAGTTTAAAGACCCTATCTATCTGTCTGTCTATCTATCTGTGTGTGTGTGGGTGTACAGATATATATATACACAGACAGATAGATCTTATCTATCTCTCCATCTATCTATCTGTAGATAAATAGAGAGAAAGAGGGAGAGGGTTTTTTTTTGTTTTTTTGAGACAGGATCTTGCTCTGTCACCCAGGCTATAGTGCAGTGGAGTGATCTTGGCTTACTACAGCCTTGACCTCCTGGGCTCAAGCCATCCTCCCACCTCAGCCTCCCAAGTAGCTAGGACTACAGGCGCACACCATGCCTGGCTGAGTTTTGTAGAGACGGGGTTTTACGATGTCGCCCAGACTGGTCTCGAACTCCTGAGCTCATACAATCCACCCACCTCAGCCTCTCAAAGTTCTGGGATTACAGGCATAAGCCATCTCGCCTGGCCAAATATATATTTTTAAATAAGAAGGAAGTTTTTCTTACCAAGTAGGTTTTGTCTTTTTGCCTATTAAAGCCAGGACTTTCATTATTTCTTTTTTTTATGTATAAAAGAGTCCCTTCGTGACCATCACAAACAGAAAAATATAACAAAACTGCTTTCCAAAAGGCCATGAAGTTAGAAAAACAATTTTACTAAGATGTAACTTTAAAAAACACACTTCAGTAAAACAACCATAAAACAAAGACACAATGTGATTTTACCACCATATATTTCAGAAGTAGAATGACTCATTATTTTCGTATTTCCTAAGAGTATTGTTTTATAATTTGCCCAAGGATTTGATCTGATTTTCGAGTGGCCCCAAAGGTGGCAGTGTCTGCTTATGAGAGCCTCGATTTGGGCTGTGTAGGCTGCCAGAGGTTTTTTCGGACTGTTTCTCATTAAAACGAGATTGCACTGTAGGTCAGCAGCGTCGATGCTTCCTGGAGGCTTATATGATCAGAATTTACTTTTTCCTTTTCCTTGCAATAACACATTTTTTTATATAGTTAATGAGTGTAAAATATTCTCTGACAGGAATCTACGAATGTTGGAATTTTTCCCTTCTGAGGAAAAGACAGTAGATTATCAATTTGTTTATCCTTTGTTTCGCTCAAAATATTTTCTTACAAATTCCCTGCAAGCTTTCTCTCTTCCTCCCTTTCCATGGAGATTTGTGAAAAATGTGCAACACACACACAACTGATGGCAGTACCATGGGTCTTGGCCCATCATTGTTTGTTTTTTAAGAGGTGTCCTAAAAAAACACAAATTACAAAAATTAGCTGGGCATGGTGACAACACCTGAATTCCAGCTACTCAGGAGGCTGAAGCAGGAGAATCACTTGAATCTGAGAAGCAGAGGTTGCAGTGAGGTGAGATTGCGCTACTACACTCCTGCCTGGGTGACAGAGGAAGAATCCATCTCAAAAAAAAAAAAAAAAGGTGTCTACAAGAGTTTGAAACTAATTTTTTTATTTCTATTGGTATAATATTTATAGTTTTGTGGTTTTTTTTTGAGACAGGATCTCACTCTGCCGTTCAGGCTGTAGTGCAGAGGTATGATCTTGGTTCACTGCAGCCTTAACATCCTGGTGAGCTCAAGATCCTCCTATTTTGGTTTTTTGAGTAGCTGGGATCACATGAGCGTGCCACCACACCTGCCTTATATATATATTTGGCATACACAGGGTTTTACCATGTTGCCAGGCTGGTCTTGAACTCCTAGGCTCAGTGATCCTCCCACCCCAGCCTCCCAAAGTGCTGGGATTACAGGTGTGAGGCACTATGCCTGGCCTTATTTGTGAATTTTCAAAAAAAAAAAAATAAATAAACAACCTGCCATCATCCTCAGCAAACTGATGCAGGAACAGAAAACCAAACACCACATATTCTCACTTATAAGTGGGAGCTGAACAAGGAGAACACGTGGACACAGGGAGGGGAACCACATACACTGTGGCCTGTGGTGGGGGGGAGGAGGCGGGGGAAGGAGAATATAAGGTAAAATAGCTAAAGGATGCTAGGCTGAATACCTGGGTGATGGGTTGACAGATGCAGCAAACCACCATGGCACACACATTTCCCTATGAAACAAAACCTGCACATCCTGTACATGTACCCTGGAACTTGAAAAAGAAAAAAAAAAAAGAAAAATGTCTAAAAACATAGGAAAATGTCAACTTCACTAGTAGTCAAAGGGATGCAAGTTAAGACAAGCTATCACTTATCAAAGGAAGAAAAGTAATAAATTAAAATTAAAATGAAAAACAACCACACTAGGCCCAAATAAGAAACACATCTTAGCCAGGCATGGTGGCTCACTTTCATAGTGTTATCCCAGCACTTTGGGAGGTGGGCGGATCACCTGAGGTCAGGAGTTCGAGATCAGCCTGACCAACATGGAGAAACCCCGTCTTAAAAATACAAAAACTAGCTGGGCATAGTGGTGGGCGCCTGTAATCCCAGCTACTCAGGAGGCGGCGGCAGAATTGCTTGAACCAGGGAGGCAGAGGTTGCAGTCAGCCGAGATCACACCATTGCACTCCAGCCTGAGCGACAGAGTAATAAATATATAAAGAAATCTTAGTCATTGAAGCAACTTCTCTTTGACTATCATTTGCTCAGTTTCATACTCTGACAGGTGTGTCTCCTTCATGGGGCATGAAGGAATACAGCAATAAATGCTGAGGCTGTCCTGAGGGCTGGCTGGAAAGGCAGCGTTAAGGAAAGGAGCACAGTGAGACTCCAGGATGCGTCACCCATGCAGTGCTGAAGATTCTGAGCTGCCCTCTCAAAGCACAGTAAGAAAGTGGGTGGTCCTGAGCTCTGAGAGCGGCCCCCACTTCAGTAAGGGTTTTTCCTCAAGAGAGAAGATTTTTCCTCAATAGAGATTCTTTGGAGAATTCATTTTCTTTTTCTATTTTTAGAGAGAGTCGCGTTTCTTGGCCAAGGCTGCAATGCAGTGGTGCAATCATACATAGCTCACTGCAGCGTCAAACTCCTGGGACCAAGTGATCTTCTCATCTCAGACTCCTGAGTAGCTGGCATGTGCCACCATACCTGGCTAGTTCTGTTTCTTTGTTAAGACAGAGTCTGACTCTATTACCCTGGATGAAGTGCAGTGGCATGGACTTGGCTCACTGCAATCTCTGCCTCCTGGGTTCAAGTGATTCTCCTGCCTCAGCTTCCCAAGTAGCAGGGATAACAGACGTGCATCACCATGCCTGACTAATTTGTATTTTTAGTAGAGGCGGAGTTTTGCCCTGTTGGCCAGGCTGGCCTCAAACTCCTGATCTCAAGTGATCCACCCGCCTTGGCCTCCCAAAATATTGTGATTACAAGTGTGAGCCACTGCACTGGTACCATTTTCAGTACGAGTTGAAGCGATGGTTGGATTAATGAGCTGTTGTGTAACTCAGAGACAACTGTGCAAGTTATAATTTCTCTACTTTCCTCCTAGATTCATTCTTTATCCTTTCTTGCCCTGCTCTATGCCCAAGAAGACTGAACCAATCACTTCGGATCAGAGGCCAAGAGGAGAGAGGGGTCAGGCTTTGTTCTCTACGCCTTTGCTTAGGAGCTGTGTCTATTGGTAGCTGGCATGCTCCACTCCCATTAGGTGGCCCATGTCACCAGGCTCTAATATCACTTTTCTCTCCTCTTG